AATTTCTTTCTATTTATAGTAGAGACGGGGGTCTTGCTCTTGCTCAGGCTGGTTTCGAACTCCTGACCTTGAGTGATCCACCCGCCTCGGCCTCCCAGAGTGCTAGGATTACAGGTGTGAGCCACTGCACCTGGCCCAATTCTTGTAGCTATTTTGAAATACACAATAAATTACTGTAAGCTATAGCTCCCCTACTGTGCTATCAAATGCGGGAACTCACTCCTTTCACCTGGCTGTACTGTCACACACCCATTAACCACAATCTCTTCATCCCCACTCCTGGCTTCTGCATTTCTGCCAGCGCTTGCTATGTCTTGACTCCCCAGGCGGACGGGTGGGCAAACCCTGCCGCTGCGACCACGGAAGGTTGCACGGGAAGGCTTGTCACATATGCAGAGGAGGTGGCTGGGGCTGTGTGGCTCTAAGGGAGAGCCGACAGAAAAATGAGAAGAGCACAGGGAGTAAGGCAAGAAGCCTGCTTCGATTACAGAGAAGGCAAGACGTAAATTTGTAAGAAGGTCAGAGGAATGACTGACGATTATGTGAGTGACTCATAAAGTGAAATGATGGAAAGACTGAGCTGGATGAGAGTGAAAAAAAAAAAAAATCTTTTCCAGGGCAATAAAGCTCTGTCTACACAGTACAACAAATGGTTTCAAAATAGAGCCACCAATCAGTTGCTCTGACTAGCCAGCTGCCGATAATTTTCCCTCACTGAATCAACTGGTCTCTCTGACATAATTAGCATGATCCATGTTAATAAAAAGTGTCATCAACTATGTAATAACTTCATACACTAAGTGGACGTAAACAAATTCAAATGCTGCTTTCCAAAATTTTCAGGGATAAAACTGATAATTCAAGTATAAACTTAATGAAAGATTAATAATGGCCTAATGGTATTAGGATTAAGCCCCAAAGCAAAGCCAAACACTGCTGTGGGCCAGGGGCTGACCCAAGTGGACACAGGCACAGGACTGACTGCCCACACCAGCTGGGTGGGCAGTGGGCTCTGAACTGACCTTGGGGAAGAGATCTGCCCAGCTCATGCAACATGACATTAGATGCTGTGTGTGTCGGGGATCCTTGACAATTCCAGTTCTGAGTTAAAAATTACTGGCCCTATGTGCGAAATGTTATTATAAAGATGATTTCCTCCAAAGTACTACATTAAAGAGTTTTCCAAAACACTGAAAGGTTCCTGAATCAAGAAGCGGCATCAGTAAACCCAGCATATTTTAGTTCTATTGCATGATTCAGGAGAGCATGAAGGTCTACAGTTTAAAACTGCCAATTAAAAAAGCCTCTTTTAAAATATCATTACTATCTTAGGGCTTCCCATTAATTGGCTGATAGAACTTGGCACTTCAATTCCTGTTCATGAAAAGTGACCCAGAATTTTGTTGCTGCAATTATGAAGCATTTTGACAGCGCACAGGGCACCATACAGATCTAAAGATCTAAAAATGAACTTGCAGCAAATTAAAAACATTTTTTGTTAAATTTGTTAGACACCATGGTTTTAATCTCACCATCTACTGATGATATATGCTAATTTTACTATCTAAAATGTTCAACATAATAGAAGCAATAGATGGAAGGTTCGAGATTTTTAAAATTAAACTTCTGAATCCTTTTGAAGCCAAAAATATTCTAGCATATGCATAACTGATTATACACTAAATAATAACAGATCATAGTTATTTCTGATGGTATAGACCATCAAATTAATCTTGATCTATGCTACTGGACATCCTTCTAGATTTGCAAGGTAAATCATTTTCCTGTATGCTAAGAGAATCCTAAAGGACAAACTGAGAAGTATGGAGTTCTCAGTTATATTTAGTCACTTTCCTCATTATGCCTAATAAAACTTCATCACAACAGGTCTCCCACTTACCATTCTCTTAGATGAAAAAAATGGAGGCTTATGAAAAATGTAATGCCCTTCTAATATTTTTTAGACTTTCATTTGCTCATAAAATAGGACAAATACCCTAGAATTCCATTAACATTTCTTGCAAATCAGATAATCAAATTGCCAGGATTTCTATTACTAGAAGTCAAGACAAGCAACTCTGCTATCAAGAGAAATTTGCAGAGGTTGTTTCTTTAAGTTCTAGGCTAACTTCTACCTGCCCAGGTCCCTTTTCTAAAGCTATGAAGTATACTGTTCAACTCCTGAATAAATTTGTTGCTTGGACTATTTTTTTTAATCATAATACCATAGGAATTAAAACAAATATCCTAAACATACCTCGAATCATTAAAAAGAATTTTGATAAGCTAAGCTAGCTGAAGGCAGGTATATAGTTAACAGCTTCACTCTTGAAGGTACATTCCATTTCTATTTTTTTCTATTAAAAAATATTAACTGTTAAGAGGTAGAAAATCTCTTGAAGCCAAACAGTAAAACTGTCCCTTTAAAATTAGACCCTTTAAAACAAATTTAAATGAAGATTTTTATAGTTTCACACTATCTTGCTTGTCACTATCACTGAGCTTCCATTATAGAGTTAGGAGGAATGTTTACAGCTGAGTGAGGTTAGAGAGGAGAGCCAGCCTGAGTCTGTGGCTATCATTTCCTGAACGTTCTAAAGCAGGGACCTAGTACAGATCTGTTCCGGGATCTCCAATAACTGTTCTCTGGAAAGAACAGGTTCTCTCTTGACTTACACAGGTTCCACAGAGACATCTGGATGTGTAGGGGGCTCATCTGTTACGTAAATAACATACTGTGCACCTGTATCTTATATGATGAGGGCCCATGAATCATGTTCTCGGTATGTTCTAAAAGAATGAGTGAAAAAGTGCTAAAAGAAATTATATAACCTCAAAAGATGCATATAATAATGACCAAATACCTTTTTGAGCTGGGAGGCTGACATGACAATTAGTGCAGCGTCATCTGAATCTAACCTGCCCAGTTTAGCACGATGCCATGGAAATACAGACATTTCGGTTTGACAGCTCCAGGAAAGCAAGGGAGTAGTTACCTAAAGGATATTTTCATTACTATACCTCCCAGAGTTCAATTTAGAAGGCCTCCTAGACCTATTTTCCTCCTTGAGAACAGAAAAGCAATACATACAAGACTTAAAGAGAACTTACAATATTAAATGTGGTTTCTTTTCCTTTAGATATTTAAATAAGGGGAATGGATGACCTCGAGAAGGACACCAGTCTACTTAAAAGGTGGCAATCAAGCCTGTGACACAAAAGTCTCAATCCCTTCAGACCAAGAAGCACCTGGGAAATGTGAGCACAACAGGAGGCAGGCACTTCAAACATCACAAACAGTTAACAAGGAAGGAGGTTTCTTTAAAAGGAACTAAATTTTTCAGCTGCTCTGCCTAGAACTTATCCTGACTGTGGCTGACAAGCAGGTGATGGAGATTTTCTGTGGAACCAGAAGAGCTTGCAATAGGTACTTCTCCCCAATCACTTCTTACAGAGAGTTTAAAATGAAGGACACTTAATCATACTTACGTTATGTTCTTTTAATCACCAAATGATAGTTAATTAGTTATCACAGAATCAGAAAAACACTTATGTGGGAAAGAGTTGGAGACCAATGGTTCCCAGGATTGGACACCTGCAAAGAGCTTATTTCAATTTCTCCAAATCAATACACACTTGCAGCCAATTAATAATTTTTCTCCTGTTCAGTCCTAAAAGTTGTTAAAAATGGCCCTGCGTCATTTGGGAATCATAAGATTTTTAAAGATGAGCTATGACTCAATTCCTTTGAAATCTAGCCTTTTCTCAGTAAGAAATAATAAAGAAAACATGAAATGTGTATGAGATCATTGCTTAGGTTAAAAATTCAAAATGTGTTCAAAATAAAGCACTGCTTCTCACTTTAATATTCATCTTTGCATTTTAGAAGCAAACAAAATAAATGAAAACATCTTTTCCGTTTTCATTGAGTATGGATTATGTATCTGAGATAGCAATTTTTTCTTGCTGTTGCTAAGTATTAAAAAGATACTGCATGAGACACAGTGACATGGCAATTTTGTAGACAGACTGAGGAAAACGAGGGGAGAAAAAAAAAGAGCCCCCAGAAGTGCCTGGGCACAAGCTCCATGTCACTCACTCTGTTGATAAAATATGTGGCTGTAACAAAACTTTTACATCTGGGAGGAAGTATGAGAAATCATGAAACTGCAAGAGGCTGAAGAGATGGACCCGTGAGGGGCTAAATGCAGTGAAACATCACAGTAAGATCAGAGGCATTCAGATGCCTTACCAGCAAGATGAGGCTCTGACCCTGCCTCTCTCTGTGCACTGCGCTACCACATAGTCACCAACACCTACTGGACGGTTAGGTGAAAAAAATGTTAAGGTCATATATTTGCGTCTTTTGGTGAAATAAGACAGAAAGGGCCACACGCATTGCCTCTTCAGTAATGAGTCAGGCAACCTTTGTTTTTATTTTGTTGTCATGGAGATAGAGGCCCGGCAGTGGGAATTCTAGGAACATACCAGGGCGGTGGTCAGAGGCCCTGGATCCATCTGGATGTATATAAAAGAAAGTCAAACCACCTTCAGGTGTAAAGAGCCCAGCCCTGGGAATCACATGTTTTCTCTAGCAGCTAATTTAACAATGGGTAGGAAGCAATATCCTATGGGTACAGAGTCCACATGTATTTTAAACAAAACAACCTTAGGATTTTCACTAACTACATTCTTTCTATTTAATTTCAATAAAAGAATAAAATAATTTCAAATGTTTAAGATATACAATAGGGAAAAGGGAATCGTTTTTTACTTAATCTGAGTTATAATTTTCTCATTAAAATCTATCCATAATGAGTGGGGGGGGCCACAAAGAAATAACAATTATTTTTAAAAGTTTTGACTGTTCAGTTTAAGGATAGCTCTGAAAACACAATTTAGTTTGAAATTCAAGCTGTTTCATTTCCTATTTAATCTTGTAAATTTCCTTCCCTTACAATACTCAGGTTGGAAGGGTGCCAAATTAGACCAGGAACAAATTTTCACCAACTTCACTTCAGTGCTTTATTTTTAGATTATATTAAAAACCTCATTAGGCTCCCTGAGGGAAAAGAGTGTTAACCACTAACAGAGGCAGGGGAAAATAAAGGAAACGGGCAGATAAGCTAAATTGTTAACAAGGAAAGCTCTCTTAAGACAGTTGGTCTGAGGTCGCTGTAACAGCTAAAATAAACTTATTACCAGGACCAGGTAAATGACTTGAGCTGGAGCTTAATCTTTTACCCCCAGGCTAGTAAGGACTAGTCAGGCTTGTCAAAATGGCATATGTCTTTATTATGATTTCCAGATGGGATGTGGAGGGAAGAGGGGTGGGTGGAAGGGAGGTCAGAGAAATCTTTAAAGACTGTAAGCTAAGAGCTCTATGCCTGCGCACAACACAAATGTGTTTCTGAATCTCCCGTGGATAAGCTGAAAAATGGGTAGGCATATGCAAGACTGGGTGCAAGATTAAATGGAATGTTGAATGAAACTTTAAAATTTATTAATGTATTTACATAATTTATAATCTTTAAGCAATGGTCTCATAAATACAGACTACAACTTTACATATGCTAAGCAACAGATACTTGTTTTTCCCCACTAAAATACTTGGGTTAAATAATTGACAGCATTTACATACTTTCTTTACTTTTTCTCTTCTTCTCTTTTTTAAACTCCCACTAGTCAGTTTGGAACATATGCAATTCAGTTTATTCCAGGCAGCTTCTCTACCATCACCATCCCGATCACAAGAGCTTATTTAAAAAGGTGCCAATAATGTGTCTGGTGACACATACACGACAGGGTCAGAAGCAAACCCAGAGCGAGGTAGGCACCTACTGTTATCATTGTTAATTTACTGTATGCATCCTAGGCTAATATAATTCAATGAAAAGTGCTTTAGAGATGGCAGAGATGAAATTGTTTCCACCAGTCCTATAAATAACCCATTTTAGCCTCAAATAATTGCCATCTCTTCACTTATGATATCCTATCACATTTTAAACGATACAACCCCCCTCTAACAGTGGTAACAGAAACCAAGGAAATTACAATCTCCACAAGGTCTTTTTTTTCCCCCGATGACCACGAAAGTGCTAATCTTCCCTTTACAAATGTTACATAAAATCTTGATTACAAAACTACTCAACAACTTAATCCTACCATCCATACAATTATATGTTCCTTTTTGGCAAGGTCAAAAGCCAATGATGTAGTCCCTTTGTACACCAGAAATTCTTTACACAACAGAAGTCCGCAGACTGAAATACTGCTGCAGTCTTCAAAGAGAGAACAGAACCGGTCAATTTCTGTGAATCCTTTTTGCATGAAGAAGACTCAAGACCAGCTATATGAAAACTGGTGGCAGGGACCCCAGCCCTCCTGTTAACTTTCAGGACCACCTACTTCATCCACTGTCTGGGAGCTCAGTCAACAGCAGCTTCGCTTTGGCTCTGAAGGCTGTCTTCGGAGTTTGAAGCCCTTACCGCCAGATGGCGGGTTGGCGTCTGTGGATGGAATTCTTCGACCTAACCAAGATGAGAGGAGGGAAGGGAATGAGCATTCACTTTCCAAATCTGTTCACGCTCAGACACAACAATTTTGCAGATGCAATTTGACAGATTTCATGAAAAAAAAGAAAAAGGTTTAATAAACTTATACTTTGGAAAAATTTTAGATTTATACAAAAGTTGCAAAGATGATATACGAGAGTTCCTATGTACCGCTCTTCCAGTTTCCCTTAATGCTGACATATTACCATGGGGCATTTGTCTAAACACAGAAATCAACATTGCCACATCACTATTCAGACTTTTTTCAGGTTATCATTGGTTTTTCCACTAGTGTCCTGTTTCTTGTTTCTGTCTCAGAATCCAAAAAAGGATATCACACAGAATTTAGTAAAAAAAATTTAATTAAAAACATTGTTTTGAGTAGGTAAAACACATTAAAAAAATTCAGTCAGAACAAGCTTGTCCCTCTGTCTCGGGGCAGAGGCCATCATGGTGACCCATTTCTCGTGCAGCCTTCCAGAGATAGATGTGCATGAGCATTCACAGGTCTACCTATATCACTACCCAACCTCCCCTTTCTTAAGCCCAAATGGGAGCAAACTGTGCACTGTTCTCCACCTTGCTGTTTTCACTGAATAATCTTGGGGATTGTTCCATCACAGCATATGGAGGCTGCTACTTTCTTTTTAATCACTTTAAGATACTGCATTGTATGGATGTATCATAATTTATTTTATTTTAATTTATTTATTTATATTTATTTTTGAGACAAGAGACTCACTTTGTTGCCCAGGCTAGAGTGAGTGCCGTGGCATCAGCCTAGCTCACAGCAACCTCAAACTCCTGGGCTCAAGCAATCCTACTGCCTCAGCCTCCCTAGTAGCTGGGACTACAGGCATGTGGTACCATGCCTGGCTAATTTTTTCTATATATATTACTTGGCCAATTAATTTATTTCTATTTATAGTAGAGACAGGGTCTCGCTCTTGCTCAGGCTGGTTTCGAACTCCTGACCTCGAGCAATCCACCCGCCTTGGCCCCTTACAGGCGTGAGCCAGCGCCCGGCCAGGATGTACCATAATTTATTTAACCAGTTCTCTACTGATGGATATTTAGTTTCCAATATTTGGATGTTAACAATAGTATAGATATTACAGAACACGTTCTTAGAAAACCAACCAACCAACCAAACAAACAAAAAACAATGGTACAGAAAGTGTCTTTGTGAACCTATGAGTATATGTGCTGGATAAATTACCAGGAGAGGAAGAGCTAGGTCATGCATTCTACTCCTGGATTTGTCTGATACATACACTGTATTCCCAGTGTCTGTATAGCACAAATGCAAGAATGTGCAATTTAAATTTTGACAGATGCTGCCAAATTGCTCTCTGAAGAGGCTGCGCCACTTTATTCTCCTACCAACAATGCATGAGAATGAACAGGTTTCACTTTACTGCTCCATGAAGCATAATGTCAATTTCGAGAGAATCCTTAAATCACCCATCCACCTACCTGACCGATAACTCAAGGGTTGCTTCTTGTACAAAGGCACTCCTGATGCCCTCCCACTTCCTAACTCTCTCCCACATCTCAGACAGTAAAATCAATTAGGACACCAGAAGCATGCTCTTACATATTTGTTTACGAATTAGACTCTAAGCTCTTCTAGGGAAGAGATCCTGTTTCTCCATCTTTGTGTTTCCAGTATCTTTTTAGCATAGTACCTGGCACAGAGATATTTTGTAAACATGGAATAAATGGACATATATATCTTTTGACATTCATGAGGATAAGAAGGAATCTCTGCCAACGCTCAGGTCCTTGAACAGCCACCATTTCGAGCAGGCTACAAATCTGTGTGGGCAGTGCAATGTTTTCTACATCGACAAGAAAGTGTCCCCCCAGTATGTCCTACAACTGCTTTTCAAATGCCTATAAGATACTGTTGTGAATAAATTACACATTTAGTTAAAAGCTTTACTGAAGCTTCTTGTTGTTATTTCTCAATAAATAGATACTAAAATACACCTGGTATAACAGAGGCATCTGGGAAATGTGACATAAAAATTTTGGGAATAACATTTTTAGAAGAAAGCAGACAAGAACAGCTTCATGAACTGGGAATAGGCAATGATTTCTTTAAAGCTACCAAAACCTTTATGGTAATCATAAAGGAAAATAAACTGCATTATATTAAGATTAAAAACTTTAGTTCATTGAAGGAGTTGATTCAAAACTCAAAGCCACAGAGCAAAGAACTATAAAACATTAAGAAGGTAGGTAACCCAAAAGGAAAATAGGCAAAAAAAGATGTAAATGGCATTTCACAAAAGAGGATATCTAGATATTATATGAATGCAAATAAATTTCTAGAAAAATGTTTGACTTTATTAACTGCCATGGAAATGCAGATCACAACCTCCTCACCAGAGACAGATAGTGGCTGGGATTCTCACGCACCACTATTGTGGGTGTCAACTAGGACAACCACCACTTTGAGAACTGGTTGTCAGTAAAGTTGTACTGAATGCATGCATACTCAATGACCCAGCAATTCTTCTTGTGGGTATAAATATACCTAACAAAAATGTGTACAGATGTTCATCAAAGAATACGACCAGAATGTTCAGAGCTGTATTACGTATCGTAACTCTAAATTGGAAACAGCTACCCAAATGCCTATCACAGCAGAATGGATAATTACACTGTAGATATTCTCTGCTTCCCCCGACCCTGGACTCTGACTCTGAAACGGACACACACACACACCAGCCATGAGAATGCGTAACCTACCACTATATGCAATGACATGGATGATCTAAAAATGTAATGCAGAACAAAAGAAGCCAGACACAAAAGAGGAAACATTGTGCTTTAAAAAACAAAGTACAAAATGTATGTAAAACCAAAACAGGCAACACCAATCTGAAGAATTAGTAGTCAGGATGGTGGTTAGTTACCCTTGGGTGTCCAGGAACTGCCATGTCCCAACCTCAACGCTAAGCACAGGAGTATATTCAATTTGTGAAAATTCACTGAGCTCTGCGCTTCTGACACGTGCACATCTCTGTGTATCTGTTATGCTTCAGCACAAAGCATGCCAGGCACTGTGCACATGTCATTTTACAACATCCAGTCAACAATAAAGTCTGTTTACATCTCTCCCAATTTTTCTAATCTTTGTGAACATATATTTTTATTTTTCACAGTTAAAAAATTAGTATGTACAGACTAGTTTTTACATAAGAATTTTCATTGATGGTATAGTTCGCCACCTTTTTGTTTTTAATACTGCTATAGTAAAAAACACTTTAAAGGAAAAAAATAGATAATTTTAACATACTCAAGACATCACACACTTAGATATTCTAGCTTGAATTGTGAAAAATTCCCAACTAGCCTTATGTTGCCTTTCAAGAATGCAGTTGGGTACCTGCTATTTACTCCTAGGACAACAACAAACATCATGACTTTTGTTTTGTTTTTTTGAGACAGTCTCACTTTGTTGCCCAGGCTAGAGTGCCGTGATATCAGGCTAGCTAGCAGCAACCTCAAACTCCTGGGCTCAAGCAATCCTTCTGCCTCAGCCTCCTGAGTAGCTGGGACTACAGGCATGTGTCACCACACTCAGCTAATTTTTTCTCTATATATTTTTAGTTGGTCAATTAATTTATTTCTATTTTTTTTTTTTTTTTTTAGTAGAGATGGGGGTCTCGCTCTTGCTCAGGCTGGTTTCGAACTCCCAACCTTGAGCGATCCACCCATCTTGGCCTCCCAGAGTGCTAGCCACTGCGCCTGGCCCATCATGACTTTTTTTTTTAGACAGAGTCTCACTTTGTTGCCTAGGCTAGAGTGAGTGCCATGGCGTTAGCCTAGCTCACAGCAACCTCAAACTCCTGGGCTCAAGCAATCCTACTGCCTCAGCCTCCCAAGTTGCTGGGACTATAGGCATATGCCACCATGTCTGGCTAATTTTTTCTGTATATATTAGTTGGTCAACTAATTTCTTTCTATTTATAATAGAGATGGGGTCTCGCTCTTGTTCAAGTTGGTTTTGAACTGAGCTCAAAGGATCCGCCTGCCTTGGCCTCCCAGAGAAACAGGATTACATGTGTGAGCCACTGCACCCGGCCCCACCATGACTCTTTAATATTGAAATAAAGGAGCTGACACAGGGGGTGCAATCAGCAGTTTACTGGTGGCAAGTGGGCTCCTTAGGCCTACAAAATACTCTGAAAATATTCGAATTAGCAGCCAAATCTAAACATGGGATGTGTAAAAAACTCTGAAAGTAACTCCCAGCAATTAGGCAACCAGGGGCCCATATTCTAGAGTGGCCCCAACTGTTGGAGCTGCCACCTCTCAGGGTCCCCAGGAGTCCCCGAGCCTGCTCTGCTCATGGGCTACCCCTGCCTGGCCTTGGTGAGCACTGGGCTTCATGCCCCTCCTCTGCACCACAGCCAAAAGCCCTTTCAGCTTCAGTCACCTTGGATCTCAACCCTACAGCGGACCTTAATGGGTAAGTCCACTGTGTCTCTCCCCTCTGGAATTCTGATGCGAATCCGCACATCTCTGCAGGGCCTGTTCCCTCAGCTCTGAGAGCACCTCCTCGGAGAAGCCTTCCCCGATCACCTGCAGACATTCTTCCACTTCATCCTATAAATTATTTTCTTCATATTACTTAGTTTTATCTGAAATGATCCTATTTATTTGGTGTTCACTGCCTGTCTCCCTCTGTAGAATGTGCACTCCAGGAGAGAAAGGGCTGCATCTATCTTCTTCACCGCTGTCTCCCCTGAGCCTGGTACAGCTCCCAATAAATATTTTGATGAATTTGAATGAAATGAATAAACATAGATGCAATCTGTAGAGGATCCCAAAGGTATGCAGCAGCCTTTCTCCAGTCTAGTGCCATCCCATTAACACTGCTGGAAAGGGAAAGGGAAGGGTGGGAAATGAAATTTTACCTTTCACTTGCCTGGTATTAATTTTTGAGGGTTTTCTTACAGTGAAATTACACCTGCATTTCATTTTCTTTTATTTATTTTGTTCATTTTCGATGACCTTGGATGACTAATTGAAACACATTTAAATAGAGAAAAAGGGAGAGATGACAGCTTCTACGACCTCAGTGCCCTGTGCATTATTTATTCAGCAGCAACACTCTTTCTAGAAGGGCTGTACTCATCAGGCAGCAGCTCTCCAGCAATTATAACATGATATGAAAGCTGGTTATTACTCTTACATTCTCAAATCTCTTTTCACTGAGGACAATTTCAGAGAGTACACTACGCTAAGTAAGGTGGGAATTCTAACCAGAAAGATAATTCTGTTTTAAGTTGCTCTGCACAGAGGAAACCGATAAGGAGCAGAGATACTCACTAATTTCTATAAAGAGTTCATTTATGTTTATCGCGTTTTTTGCGCTGGTCTCTACAAAAATTGCATGAATGGAGTCGGCGTAGTCCTTAGCATCTCTCTCCATGACTTCTCTGGAAGGCAACAATTGCAAATCAGAAATTCTACACATTAACATCTTAATGTCATCCCCTCCTACCCTGTAATTATCCAGATTTATGATGACAAAGGATGTCTTGAATGGTTGCTGTGTGAGTTCTGATGTGTGGTCCTCCCATTTATGCCACTTCTTTGGTTAAACCATAGCAATGTAGCTAACGGAGTGATCAGGGAATGGCAGGATTTTCTCTCCCCCTCAAATTAAAAAAAAAAAAAAAAAGCCCTTGCTTTGGGAATCATAGAAGTAGCCCAGAAAAAACTGCCAATAAATGTGCTTTCTGAATTCAAGTATTCTATGTCACGGGAACCTGGGGGCCACACTGATCTCACATAATGTCAAGTGTGATGTGACCAGTGTTTAAGTAAATTACACACCTGTCTATATATATAATATAATTAGCTCCAAATGCCTGAAATCTTAATTGTAGTTTGAAACTTCAGGACTCCAACCACACAACCAAAAGGGATTTTTCAAGTCAGAGATTAAATAAAAGATTCTTATATTGGATATTGTTCATTAAGAACAGGAACACATAATTGGCATTGTAATTTCTTTTTCTAATAACTTACCTTACGTCGATAAGGTCGCACTTATTTCCAGCAATAGCAACTACAATATTAGGTGGGCCATGCTGTCGAAGTTCTTTTACCCAATTCTTTAATGTTGAAAATGTCTCCTGAAACACACAAAAAAGAGAACTGGCGAGCTAAGCAACTAAAAGAGTTTTCAAAATAGTCTAAAGAAAACTATATATAGTCTTACTTCTTTTGTGATATCATAAACGATTATAGCTGCAGCCGACCCTCGATAGTACATTGGTGCTAAGGCACGAAACTGCAGAGGAGGGGGAAAAATAAACAACAAAATTGGGAAAACTGGTTAAATATGTTTTTTACTAGACTTTTAAGCCATTATCCCTGCACAAAAGGTAATCTTTTTCTTAAGCCAAAGAAGATGACATGATGCTTTAAAGCAAATGAACCAGTAATTACCAAAGGCAAAAACTTTTAATGTAACACCGAAATGTCTCTCAGAAGATAGTTTAGAATGCAGCTTTATAGGAATTAAATATGGTGCTATAAACAATTGTTTCAGCTAAAAAGGCTTTTTATTGAACTCAATGTTATAATTCCCAAATTCATTTGTTCAATAGTCCTTTAAACTTTGGCTTCCCAAACAAACTATCATGGAAATAAAAATAATGCTGTAAATAGTTCTCCAGAGAAGTGGCTGCATTTGGGTGTCGTAAAGATAACCCTGTAATCTAAATGCTGATTGTCCTTTAGAAATGAGTACACATTTACATTCACTACTTGGATGAGTTTGCAACTTGCTTTTTTGATATCTCCATGCACGTAGCAATTCCCAAATGCTGGGTACAGATCTCATTTCATTTACATGAATTCAACTCTGTACTTGGAGTTTCTTCCCACCCACCACCTCCCCTCCCCAACACACACAATAGGAAGGGAGGAGGTGGAAAGGGAGAGGGATAACCAGCTGAATAGCAAGGGTGATTTAGCAGGCCACTTCTCTAGATAAGTGTGAGATGGAAAATGTGAAGCTTGTCCCCAGCCTCAATTCCTGGACACAGTTCCAGTGTGAGCATCTCACTCACCAAATGTGATGCCAACATTTACTGTAAGAATTTTGCCTACACTTGATCTACAGATCTACATATAATGTGACGCCAATCAGCTCGCATTCTGCTGTTTCTGGTGACTTACCTCCAAACACAGGCAAGAATTGTCACCACAGGAAGCATTTGGTGCATACATATAATCCACATACAGAATTATGAATTCTGTAACTTCTTATCCAATGGGTTTAACCTTTTGGCTTTTAAACTTTTATATTAATTTGAGTTTTACAAAAGGAAGTGAAATTATGACTGCAGCTCCATGAGGGAAATCAGCATGCACGCTGAGCATGCCATTTTGTCTTGGGGCCCAGCACCTGGCACACTGTAGGTAACCAAGAAGTGGTGAGCACATGAGTAGGAACTACATAAGCACGGGGGGATATCAAACTAAGTGCCAGTCCCAGATGTCCAGACCCAGAAACTTTCACTGGTCTTTGTGAGAGAAACCCCTGCCTGTGGGCTGAAAGCCTACTAACTTCCAATAAAATGATACGTTAAGTTTTAAAGAGAACAAAAATAAAGGTTGTAAGCAAGAAAGCACTACAGAAAAGGAAACTACATTATGAGGTAAAAATGACTTAATATGTTGGATTGAATTCTATAGCATAAGAGAAAATGAGACAGAAACACCGATGGAACAAAGGTTATGGCATTAGCTTTCATTTCTGATGTACTTATGTTGGCAATGTCCCTCACAGGTTGGTTTCTTTTTTCTTCTTTCTTCAAATTTGTAAAGTAAAATTCACATGGAGAAAAGCAAAGATTTTAGGACAATCTGATAAACTGACAAATGTATACCTCCATGTAAACACCATCCACCAAGATATAAAATATTTCTATCAACAAGGAAAATTCCCCAAGATCCTTATCATGTCCTTTTTTAACCTTGATAATAACCTTCTTTTTCAAGTCTATTTTATTGCTATTCATATAACCATAACAGGTTTCTTTTGTTTATAATTTGCATAGAATATCCTTTTCCATTCTCTTATTTTCAATCTATCTTCTTTTTCTTTGTTTTTATATTTAAGGTCATTCTCTTATAACAGGCATATACTTTGGGTCCTGCTTTTTGATCAATCTGACAACCTCTGTCTTTTAAGTGGAATGTTTAGTTCTTTCACATACTTCCGTTCATGTACTTCCTGATATATTTGGGCTTAGGTCTACCATTTCATTGGTTTTATTTTATTTTATTTAATTAATTAATTTTTAGAGACAAGGTTGCCCAGGTTAGAGTGCAGTGGCAAAATCATAGTTCACTGCAGCCTTGAAGGTTTGGGCTCAAGCAATCTTCCTGCCTCAGCTTCTCAAGTAGCTGGGACCACAGGCATATACCACCACTCCTGGCTGATTTAAAACAACAAAAAAATAGAGATAGTGTCTTGCTGTGTTGCCCAGGCTGGCGTGAAATTCCTGTCCTCAAGCAATCCTCCCTCCTCAGCCTCCCAAAGCGCTGGGAATATATAGGCATGAGCCACTACGCCTGGCCCTGATTTGTTTTATATTTGTTCCATTTTTTTTTTTAAATTCCTCTGCTCCTCTTCCTCCCCCTGCCTTTCTGCATCAACGGAATTTTTTTAGTATTCAATTTTAATATATTAATTCTTCCATTGGCTTTTTAGTTATACTTACTTATATTACTTTTTAAGTGGTAGCTCTTGCATCTACAATACATATTGTACATTTTTCTACAGTTTACTTAGAGTTTAAAATGTAACACTTCATGTAAAATATCAGAACTTTGCAGGAATTTATCTAACCATCCTTTGTGCTATGGCTGTCAAATATTTCAAATCTATCTACACTATAAACTATACAATCCAATGTTGTAATTTTTGAATTAAATAGCCCAGTTATTTTAATAAGTTGAGGAAAAAAATAATATTTTCATATTTACCATTTCCAGTGGTTATTATTTCTTTCTACTGATCTCAGTTACCATCTGGTATTATTTCTCTTTAGCCTGAAAAAGTTTCTGAGACTGCTACTGCTGAATTCTCAGTTTTTGTTTTTATAAAAACGTCCTTATTTTAACTTCCTATTTTAAAAACAATTTTGGCAGGTTGACACTTTTTTTGCTTTCAGCACTTTAAAGATACAGTTCTAATGCTTCTGGCCTCCACTGTTTCTATGGAGTTAACTGTCATTCATGTTGTTGTTACCCTGTCTTTTATCTCTGGCTGCTTTCAAGATTTTCTCTTTATCTTTGGTTTTTAGCAGTTTGATTCTGACGCACCTAGATGTGGTTTTCTTTCTACTTACAGGTTTTCTGGACTTCTGGGATTTTTAATTTGATTATGTTTCACTGAATTTGGGAAATTTTCAGCCATTATTTCTTGAAATGTCTTGTTTTCCGTGCCCACTTCCCTCTTTCCAATTGTACATGTGTTTAGACTGTATGAATTTGTCCCTGTGATATTAAGACCTTATTTATATTTTTCTATTCTTTTCCCCATTTTTTTGATTAATCTGTTCTATCACCCATACAGTGACTTTTTTCATCTTAGATATTGCAACTTTCAGTTTTAGCATTTTCACTTGATTCTTTATTAGTTTTCTTTCTGTGTGAGATTTCCCAACCGTAGTTTAGTCATTAGGACTGCTTTTAATTCTCTGAACATATTTAAAATATATGCTTTAAGTTTTGTGTCTGCAAATTCTAGTAACAGGGTCACTTTGGGGTTTGTTTCTACTCACTGGAGCACGTTTTCCTGTCTCATATGTGTAGTAATTCAGATTGCTGGACAGTGCGGATGACACACTACAGACTCTGGGTTTGCTTTTCTTCTCTTCAGAGTGTTACATTACTGGCAGACCCTCTTCTGACTGGTTTTACATGGTGTTAGGGTGGGTCTATTTGGTTTTGTCCTCAGTCCCAGAATGTGTTCGACTCCTAAGGCGTGGTCCTTTTGAAGTTTCAATGCAATGCTCAAGGTGTTTGGCAATCCCTTCTAACATGGCAGGACTGGATTCAAACTCCAAAGTCTAGCTCTGTTGTAATGAGCAGCAGCTGAAACCTCTGCTCAGTCTTGTCACCCTTTCTAGCTGTTGGTTTCTATTGGGTTTTATGTCTCGCCTCTGTATTCACACTTTCGGAGTCAACCAAAGGCCTGAAGGACATTTATAAATAGATTTTGGGGTTTCCCTCCTTGTTGGATCCACCTTTTCTGGGATTTGCCTCCTCTTTTACCAGCTGCTCTGGCAGTCCCAAAGTCTGTCCTCAAATAATAACAGGCTAAAAAGACAGACTTTCTGCTTGAGTTCTAGCTATCTTGTGCCACACAGATTGAAAAGTGCCTACTGGGGAAAAGCTATAAAAATGTGGATTTCACCCAATATAGCTCCTTTTTTCAATCCCTGACTGCATTTGGTTGCTTGTAGTACCTTCAAACAACTGTTTTCAAATGTTTTGTCCAGAGTTTCTATATAATTGTTATCTGTGGGAGAATTAGTCTGGCATAAGCCATTCTGCCATTATTGACATCGAAGTCTTTTCATGTTCTTTTGGTGTAAAGAAAGAAGGTGGAAGCACATAAAGAGACTCAAAAGATGTTAGCACATCTCTGCTCTGGTAGGACCTGGCTCTAGATCAGGGGTGGCAAACCTTTTCAGGTAAGAGCCAGATAGTAAATACTTTGGCTTTGTGAGTCATATGATCTCTGTCACAATTACTCAACGCTACTGTTGTGAAGGCAGCCATAGACAATATGTAAACAAAAAAGTATGGCTATTTCACTAAAACTTCATATACAAAAACTAGCAGCAGGTTGGATTTGGCCTAAAAATATATTATAAATTCTGTGTTTGCAAATTCTAGTAACAGGTTCACTATGGGGTTTAGTTCTACTCATCGGGTTATGTTTTTGCGTTTCTCCATATATGTAGCAATTCTAACTGTGTGTTGGACAGTGCGGATGACACACTGCGGACTCTGGTTTCTGCTACCGTCGACCCCAGCTCTAGATGATACTGAGCCACTATAATTGCTTCTGATTTTAAACACGAGAACAATTTCTTACACGACTACTGTGACAATCGAGTCTGTGCCTTCCTGGTGTCCTGACCTCTGTGGAAACAGTCATAAGGAGAAAGTACAATTAAGATGCAGAAATATATTCTTTAAGGACTATATGCAGTGTCTATTATTTTCTGGTTAAGAAGTTTTCTTTCATATCATTACATACTGATGGCAAGTATTTGAAATGTTTTTGCTATATTTATGGTATATTTATGATATGCATTTATGGTGGTCATTTATGTATATCCTGTGTGTCTCAATACTACTGCACGAGTCTTTGTTAATGAAGGATAATTGGAGGAAAAAGATGACTTAGAATGAATTCATTTAGGACAGCAAATAATAGGGATAAAAAGGTCTCACAAAGGCTCTATCTTGAGAAGATAAATTTAAAATCATGAAAACAAGTTTCATCTTACTTGGTATTTGAAAAACTTAGGTTTTTTACTGTAGCCAAAAGCTAATTTTTTTTGGATGAACACTGAGTCAAAGCTCACTTCTATAAAACTATATGCTAGCAAAATACAAAATCCTTCATTTTGTGTTTGACTTTCACACAGTTTTATCATAAAAACTTTTGCAAAAATATTTGAGGGCTCCATCAATTTTCCCTAGGCCCTTCTTAACCCTTTGCTACACAAATCATTATCTTCTGAAGCACTTACATCATCATCCTGATCAGTATTTTTCCTCTTCATTTAATTTAACAAGACCGCTACTGTCAAGGGCTTTATATGACATTTGAGAAATTCTCCAAAATCACCTTCATCGACTTAATGAAATCACTTTGCAATCACTTGTAACTGGACCATCAGAGGACAACCCATCTGTCAAAATGGTGTGCGGCCACAGATGTTGAATGAGGAGGATGTTTGAATGGTCAGTTCATCAAAAAAGTGTTTTCATTTTATGATGACTTTTGGTTCCATAATAAATCTTATAACTACAGAGAACTAAGTAATTAACATGCAAACACCAGAAATTTATTATTTGAGTCATGCACTACTCACATGGTAAAAGTAGGTAGAGGATCTGTCCTTATTTGTGCCTAAGTAGGGCTGGCAATCAGCTGACATAAATCCACTGGCATCAACACCATGTGCCAGGGGCTGAGAGCAGAGATATGATGGAAGTCCCTGCTCTCAAGGAGCTCACACTCTAATGGAAGGCTGACAAGTAAGGAAACAGGTGACAATCCCACAGATGAGGTCAATCAAAGACTGTTTAGGAAACAAAGGACTGCCCCGACAGTTCATTTGTGGATTCATCCACCCAGTATCTACAGCAGGCGCTATACTAGCACTGGGAATCTAGCAGTGAGCACGACACTAGTCCCAGCTCTGGAAGTTTACAGTCTGCAGTCTGGTGGTGGGGGACGGAGACTGTCAATCACGGTAAGTCTGCAGACATCTAATGAGTGTTCTGAGGAAAATGAGTAAGGGCAGTGATGAAGAATGAAAAGGGGGCCCTGCTTAGGCACAGGAGGGTTAGGGAAAACTCCAAGGGTGTAGCATTTAACCTGAGGCCAAAGGGCTGGTAAGGGAGCCAGCTGGCCATGCTCCGAGTACAGGGAAGAGAAAGTTCTAGGGAGAAGGAAGAGTGCGTGTGAAGGCCTGGGCAAGGAGTGCTGGAGGACAGAGACACAGAGGAGGGCCCAAGAGAGCACTGAGGAGAGAAGGTAGAGCAGGTCATGGGGGCCTCTGCAGGCCTCTGTTCAGAATGTGGCTCTGATAAGAGGAGCAGTGGGAAGTCACTGAAGAGTGTTAAGCAGGAAGATAATAGGGTCAGCTTTACGTTTTTAAGAGGTTCCTTTGGGTCCTGTGAGGAGAAGAGTCATAGGTCAGGGCTGGGTGGAGGCAAAGCAGTAGGACCAAATAGAAAGCTATGGGAATACACGGTGAAAGATAAAGGTGGCTGTGAGCAGGGTGCTGGGAGTGAAAATAGAGAAGTGAATGTATTTGAAAGATACTTAGAAAACAGGGTTGTCAGACACCCTGTTGGAGCAAGTATGGAGGAATGAGGGCGAGCGAGGAATTCAAGGCAACCTCCAGATTCAGGTACGAGCAACATGAGTGTGTGGCAAAGTGCTCACTTAACAGAGAGCAGCAGGGATGATTAGGAAAACCTCCCTATAGGTGAGATCAGAGGTAGGTCTTAAAAGCTGAATAGCTTTCCAGGCAAAAGGTGGGAGCAAAGGCATGGGGGTGTGAAACTGTATGGCATGCCGGAGAACTACAAAGCAGTTTGGTGCTAGAGGACAGACTGGTGGAGGAGGTAAAAATGGAGAGTCTGGCTGCAGTTGGCACATTCAGGGCCTTGAATGCCTTGCCCAGGACAAATGGGCAGTCTTTGACCCAGAATAGGCTCAAAGATGTGTTTTGCACAATCCTCTCAGCATTTCAAACCATTTGTGATTAGCTGTCAGATGTTTAGATTTTTGTAGGCACTGCCATCTGGCTATCCTGGACATGTGCTCTTGCCCAGCAACAACTGGCTAGAGTGAGTGCTTGCCAGGTGGTGCTCCTCTCCTGTCTCCCCAGTGCAGGGCCTCCTGGTCACTGCCCCTGGCCCCAAGAACACCTCCTGTGCAGCTCTGGGCTATGTGATGATGCCTCAGGTGGGGCGGAAGCAGCTCTGCCTCTCAGAGCAACTGCATCTCTAATTGTGGAACCTATTAGAAGTGGGCAAACAACAGACAGGCAAACTGGCTAATCACAAAACTTCACCAACTCTCACCATCTTGCCAACAGAAAGGGAGAGGCATACTCTCTTGGGTGATTCTGTTTTCAAGTTCTAGAAAAAAGAGATGTTATTATGTATCACTGTGTATACCAGGAGAGGCTCTGATTCAAAGCATAATGGAATCTATGTTATAGCATGTTTCTTTATGATGAGGGCTTTGCTATTTCATCAAATATATGTGAGGGGGTAATTGAAACTTGGGATTCAGTGGAAGGTACATATATTACTAGGAAGAAGAGCCAAATGAGTTTGTGGCTAATAGGACAGACCCCAGGGCTATGTCTACAGATATATTCAGGAGGACCCTGTGGTAAGTGACACTTCTGAAGGGCGGAAGAGGGATGGCTGGCAAAGGTCTAGCTGTCCTAAATGGTCCATTCTAGATGCACAACACAAGCAAAGGAGAGAAGTGGGGGATGGAAGACAGTGTAGCTGAAGTATCTCAGATGAGTAACTGGACAGGGGCACGGCAGCCGCATTAAAAACAGGAGCAACCATGAAATTTGTACAAATGCATAGCGTTTATGTCTAGGAGAACACTAATGGCTTGTTTTGTTTCCCTCCATTCGTCTGTGATGATTCTTGTCAGATTTTATACCATACACAGTATCTATGTTGTCTTAGCTAAGACTGTGATGACAGACTATTTTTCCTGATTACTTCTGGTATACTTTTAAGAGCTTAAGATAGCACTGTGCATCCATCAGCTGTGCTGTTTAGATGGTACTGTTTGAAAACAAAATTAAACGGCAGCTGAATAATGGGGTGGCTGTCAGAGGCACCTGGGTAGGGAAATCGGCCTCAGTACCCAGAAGGAAGATGAAGCAGCAGGCATGTGTCCGTCCCCTCCCCTGCCTTCCCGCCCCCTTTCTAACTTTGGCAGGGCTTCCTCAAATCTCTTCAACATTGTGCTGCTGTGGCCAGGCGCCACTTCTGATTCAGGCTCTTCCTTAAAGGGATAAGCATCATGGTCAATGTTATCATCAGGCAATTATTAAGTATCTATTGCACCGTGTTAGCTCATCCTTTTCACTTAAATCTCAAACTTTATACACTGTAAAGTTCCCTCTTTAGCTTTTAAAAGGTGGCTATAAGTGAGTTGTGCTTAACTCTCCCTTTCTACTACTAATTCTTTTATATATCTCTAACTAGAGGATGGAGCCCCAAACTACATACAATGCTCTGAGTGGGATTTTATCTGGCCTGTTAGTCAGCATGTACTTTAAGACACTCCAAAGTATAAAAATGCCCTCAGTGCCCATTATCACTTTCTCCATCAGTGGACTTTGTGGTTCTAATTGAAAAGAAAAAGGCTGGCCTATGCAAATGGAAACAAATGTGTCTCCAGTGCACAGAAGAGAAGTGAGTAACGTGAGATGACAGGGACATTGACAGTTTAGTTGGAGCTTTCATTTGGGCCTCAAAAATACAGAGTAAATTAAAGAGTGACTTACTCGTTCTTGTCCAGCTGTATCCCAGATTAGGAATTTATGTAGCTCATTTTGGTATTGGACAGTCTTGGTCATAAAAGATGCCCTATAAAGAGAGACCTAAATAATCAGAATACAATTATGTAAAGCACGTTTCCAGCCCCAGTCGGAAACATCACTTAGACTTAATGCTCAAACTCCCAGCTCCACACTAAATCCTAATAGTGTTCCTCTCTGGAGTATTTATGGGATGCTCAGATGCTGGCTGCATATTCTCTGTCAAAATAAAGCAGTAGGCACATCTGCCCAACACAAAGAAGTAAGAGTTCTTGGGCTTTTGATTGTCTAAGTTCCATATCAAAAGTACCAAAAGAACCAAGAGAGAGTTCGGCAATCCAGACATGAGCCTCTTTTGCAAAACATGGAAGCTGTTATTTAAAATGATGTTATCGCGGGAAAACTTTCTGAAAAAGCAGGGTGTCCAGGAAATGTGTGCACTAGTTAAAATTAGGCCACTGGGGTTTGTTCTCCCCCAATTCCCAAACCACATGCCCACATAAATACCTGAGTGAGAACGAGTGTTAACACCATAGTTATTAAAATTAAGATGCCAAACAAGCAGGAAGACAGTTGGAGAAGTAACAGCTGTAATAAGGTGACCTGATTCATTATCAGCACCCCTGATGATCACTTGTGATTCTTTGACAGAATGGGCTTCTCAGCTGAGGTTCCACATCAGCCCCCAGGGCCTCATCCAGCCCTTGAGGGGAAATGAATCATGGTTTGCAGGTCACACCACTCACTCAAAGAGCCACTCTGCCCAGGAGGCTTCGATGGCAGGGTTCTATTACTTTGGGGGCTCCATATGTTTTAGAGGATCTCAAGCTGGACCTCAAAGCCTGCATATCCTAAGGAGCCACAGTGGCCCAGAGCACATGCCTGGACACTCTAGGGGCTCTAGGACACAGGTTCAGGAGTTCTGTCCTGGGCCTGGCTCCAATACTACCTTCCAATTTCCCACCTCACCTAGAGGGCAGCCTCCCAGGAAGTCTTTAGTCTCCCAGTCTCCTCAGTGCATCCCAGTCTGGCTTGCAGAACCCAGAAGATGACCATGTCTTCTTTTCTACTGGATAAGTCTTCTGGGGCCAAGGGCCAAGTTGTACCCCAATCACTCCACTCAGCATAATGAACTCAATGGGTGGTATTTTCATATATGCTGAGAGCTCAAAATATTTTTCTTGAGATTCAAGTAACAGATAATCTCTAAGAAAGTACAAGTTAAAATACAATGACTTTTTGACAAATCACTGAACTCAGACAAATATCAGAATCCTTAGTTTTAAAAATTTCATCTCTGATACAATGAATTCCTGGCAGTATTTATATAAATTTATGGCGTAGCAAGTAGCCTCCAAAATAGTGACTGCAATGAGGAAGGGAAAAGTGAATTAGGAGGCAGGATCGTATTTATTGGATATTTATTTACTGAATATTTACCCCTTGGTATACTTAGTAAAGTGCTTTGTGGATAGAAGGTACTCGATAAATGGTTATTGTATCAAGAACTTTTGGTGACTCTCTATGATTAAATCAGGATGTGCAACATGATTTCTCACTTAGGAAAGATCTAAGCATTCAAAAAGCATTGTTTATTGTAAAGATTAAATGAGATGATGTATGTGAAAGTGCTTTGTAAATTGTAAAGCACTATATCTATACAAGGTATTATTATTATTATTATTTAAAGGCAGCTCCAGGAAATGTTTTAGTTTAGAGTTTGCAATTAGTCCTAAAAGCTTGCAACTCAACATTCCATCAATTATGCTGTGGTGCTACATTTAAGAGTGACAACAGGCATCCAACAGAAGCCTATTAACAGAGCCAACACATCCAACACATCCATTTTGGCTGCTCAAAGGACAAGAGAAGAAATATGCTTCAAGTAGACAAAAAGCTGAGAAAGGTATATGCAATAATTAAAAGGAAATGTTTCATTATAGGATCAGAATTCACTAAAGTTCAACCTACCTGCCAACCATTTCTCTTTAATGAAAACATTACTTATTACTGAGTCAGGAGAAAGACAACTGGCAACTGTGATGTAATGAAAGTGACTTAAAAGACTAAACCTGACTCCCTATCTCTGGCCCTGGACCACCCTTCCAGCTCTCTCTCATAGTCACTCTCACCATGCCTCCCTTCCTTTCTACCATGAGGTCTTCTTGGGTCTATGTCCATGTCTGTTGGCCTCTTGTCCTTTTATCACCAGCATCACTGTCGACCATGTCGATTCTTTTAGCATCTTACTTGTCTTCTCTCAACCACCCAGACAAGCCCCAACAGCCTCTATACCTGCTTCCTCCACCCAATGGTAGGGCAGTGGCCTTGCTGGGGGAAAGCCACATAGTCATGTGGACTACCATGGAGATTCTATCCTATGTCAGTTGAGCCTGCCTCTTGGGCCTTCTCCCATCCCACACAGCAATTAGGCCTCATTTTCATGCCTCCTTTCCAGCTCTCTACCACTTCCTGCTACCCTCTTCTTCAGGACCACAGCTTGTTTCAGCCTTCTAAGAGAAAGCACAGGTTATAAGCCCTAAGACTCCCAATAAGCTCCCCAGTCAATACTCCCAGCTTGAAAGCAGACAAATTTCTGTTCATACTAGCTGTTATTTCTACTTTTTTGACTTTGGCTAAGTCAGAGATGTATCTTCTTTGGCTCATGCATCACTGCTGCCCAGGTTCATGACCCCAGCACATCCTGCATGGGCCACTGCTGTCATTAAGTTGGTCTTCTCCCAGGCTCAAATCCTTCAAAGTGTCCCTGTGTCTACCTTCCCACTGACCACTCCTTTTCCTTCAAAGCTTTCCCACTGGCTCTCCCCCAGCCAGATGCTTCTTATCCATCAGGTCTCAGCTCAAGTGTCAATGATCCTAGATGTCTGTGCCATCCACCCAAATGAGGCAATCTCCTGTCCAACTCTGTTTCCTAACACATCAAAGCACCTACCACAATGTCTGATTAGCTATTTATGTTTTTTTTTTAAATTTATTTTAAATTCCCCTGTTCAATGTCTAATTCACCCATGAGAACTATAAGCTCCATGAGGGTAGGGACCATGCCCTACCCTCAAGAGGGACCTCTCATTGAGGGTCCTCTCATTGAGGGTCCCTCAAGAGGGACCTCTTTCTTTGTGATAGGGATATCTTCTTCATCTTCTTCCTCCTTGCTATCCTAGAACTCTAACAAAACATTTATCATGTTATACACAAGCTACTTAGCTGCCTATTATTCCTGCAGTTCTAGGGAGTCTTGGCCAAGCACTTCCTAAAGCAGAAGGTGAGAAGCACCACTGCAGTGCAGGGAAAGAGGTGAGATGAAAGGAGACTTTGCTGTGGCCTCTCGGGCTCCAGGCAAGTAGTTTAAGTAGCACAGCATTGACTATGCCTAGGGAATGTCTTTCCTGCCTTCTCCGGCTCAGCCATCAGCTCCAACCCTACCCAGCCAAGGGGAAACAAGCAAAACCCAGGAGTTGCAGGAAAGAGCCACTGTGTCCCTCCATCACTCAGACCTCTGGAATTCTGCTAAGAAAGAAGTCATGGCACTTTACGCAGAGTCTCTCTGCCACTTACTTATGTTTGAATTGGGAGCTTTCTCCCACCTCCGGGTCCCGGCTCAGGCGGCTATGGTGAGATGACCAATCTCTCTCACCTCTCCTCCCCCAAACCCCACAATGTTTCTTTATTTCAATGGGCATCTCTGTTGATTTTTGAGATTGAAATCTTGGGTAAGAACCATTTCCTTTTCCTCAGCATCTGGATTTGGTCCTTCTCTGTAGCTGGACTCAGGCTTAGGCTCAGGAGGGGTGCTGCTTGCTGTCTGGCCCTGGGCAGAAGGCCTCTTGCAGGACTCGACCATGAATTTCTTCCTGTGGCTTCAGGTTTTCATCTGTTGAGGATGGCACTTTTCTAAATCTGATTGATTTTACTTTAATTATGCAATCTAGATACTTCATCACCATCTCATACTTAACATGGTAACAACAGGGCTTATTTCCACTCCACCTCCACAACTGTCCCAAATTCCAAATTCTCAGTCATAGAACATTATGTCTGCCTTTCACAGAACAGAAACTAGTCTGCAACTATTCACTGTCCTTTGTTACTTACATCCAATTTTGTAGCAGAGCTGTCTGGTTCTTTATTTTATATTTAATCTACAGTTGAACCTCAACCACAGAGATAAATTCATAAATTGGACCCTAATCTTTGAGTGGGACTACTACAATTTTTCCCTCCCATTGTCACTCCAACTCCAGGATCACTCCTTTAACGTCCAAGTTAAATGATGCGGAGGGTATGATAACTTCAGTATCTTGCTTTTTGAAAAACAGGCAATGGCTCCCTGCCATTCAAATGATACATTTTTATTTTCCAGCCTGCCATTTACTTGTCTGATAACCTTATTTTTCACTACTAAACTGTCTCTCTTCACTCTGCCTAGGCAGATCTTATTACCTCTTTAATCTAAAATCCCTACTAGCATTATTTCCTAAAGCTAGAATGCCTTTCATATACTTCTCCATTTTTCATGACATTCTAAAAATATGACTTTCACGCACACCAAATAGTCACGTTCTTTGGTCAGAGTACGTGTTTCCAATGAAAATACTTGCTACTAGGTGTTTTAAAAATTTCTTTTCTTTAACTGCAATAGACTTGTTTGGCTCTCTTGGAATATAGATGTGCTCTGACACTGTATTCAAGTACCTCTCGTTACCGCACATTCTTTCCACTGCACAGCACATGGAATGCTGTCATCTCCATAATGGTATATAGTGCCTTTTCAGGATGAACAATTCAGCTCATTTTAAAATTAACAAAGGACCGTAACTGCTAAACACTCTAAATCTCATGCAAACAACACTTGGATCTCTAGGTTACATATACTGATAGAAATACAGCTGAATACCAAGATCAAGACATAAAAAGACCAAAGGTAACATCTGGTAGTTCCTGTAACAGAGATACCAACGGGCCTTCAGGAAGGTTTAGAATGGTGCAAGGAACTTGACACTTGCTCACTGAGGGTTAGTGGAGCATAAGGCTACATGTATCTTATGTTAGAGTAGCAGCAAAAAGCCAGAAGTCTCATGAGAATCCATAAATTTAGTGACTTACGTGCATCCCAGTCACACATATCTTTAACCCTTCCTTTAAACTCTACCACCTCTTAGGCCAAAGAGATCTAAGGGTTAACGTATCACTGTGCATGGTTCTTTCTTCTAAGCATTCACTAACTACTTAAACCAGAGGGGTGCACAATAGACCTGTTCCACAGGTTCATGGTCGTTCCACAGGTTCATGGTCGTTCCACAGGTTCATGGTCATCCCAAGCAAATCCTTTATTACTTTCTACATTATTTGTCCTATAGTCTAAAAACATTTTGGAAAATATTTAAGAAAAATGTTTCTTTAAATATAAAGATAACTAAATAACAAACAGCCTCTCCTTTCCTAAGTCTATGGAGAATAACTTACAAAAATGTATACACTTTTATACTATAAACAATGAAAATCAACAATGACAATGACAAAACTAGCTGCTTTGACTAAGTGTTCATTAGTGTTAGGTACTCTTCTCACACTTTCACACATGTGACCCCATTTAATCCTTACTACAAGCCTCTATGTGGGCTTTGATTCTTCATCACCATTTTACAGAAGAGAACATGAAGAGACAGAGCTAGAGTGGTGCACCTTGGACCCAAGGCCAGACAATCGAGCCCCATGCCTGTGCTCTGAACTGCAGTGCCACCCTGCACGGGGCAGCCTTGCCACTCCTTCAAACACTTGGGCTTCTACCATGTGGTAGGAACGCTAGGCGTGCAAGATGTTATTGGTGCTCTCAAGAGGCTCACACTGGGGGTACTGCTCAGGTAAACATATAATTACAGGCAAATAATCTATGAGACAGCTGAAGAATGGACAGAGAGGGTGGGGGCACAGAGGCAAAGCCAAGTTGAAGTACCCAGGAGAGTGGCAACAGCAGGTGTGGAGGCTGAGTAATTCCTCCCCATCCTGAACCTGTGAGTAGGTTACCTTACATTGCAAAGACGACTTGTCCAAGGTGGTTAGGCAAAGGAGCTTGAAATGGGGAGAAGCTCCTGGATTACTCACGTGGGAGCAGGAGGAGTCAGGGCCAGAGGAGAAACTGATGTGAAAACGGAAGTGGAGAATGCAGATATGAGCCTTGGAGGAAGAGGCCACAAGCAAAGGCAGCCACTAAAAGCTGAAAAAGGTATGGAAATAAATTCTCCCCTCAGAGCTTCTGGAAGAAACTACCTCTGCCAACATCTTGACTTTAAGCCAGTGAAAGTGATTTTGCACTTCTGCTTCTAGAACTATAAAAGAATAAATGTTCTTTTAAGCCACTCAGTTTGCTGTGATTTGTTATAGCAGCAAGAAGAAACAAATCAGAGTAGTAGTAAAGTGTGAGCTGAACCAGGAAGTTAAGGAGGGAGTTTGCCTAGCAGATGGGATGAGGGAGGGGGTCATGTTTCATGAGGAGCACCAGCAGGAACCAAAGCAGAGGACAAAACTGTGAACATGCCAGAAACAGTCTGGTCATTATGCAGGGTCACACTGGGTGGGTGGGGTGGTGAGTGTAGTTAGGTGACCACAGGAAAGGCTCAAGGCAGGCAGAGGACACCTGGTGAAGGCTGGTGACGAGCACCTCCTTGGTGTGGGCCCCTGTTTCTTATAAGCCAGCATCTCCCCAGAGGCCAGTGCTTCATTTGTATTTTTATTACTACTGAATATTTCAAAAAAATCACTTTTTAAACTGAGCCTTGTCCAAGCAATAATATTGGTAAAATTAAAAACTCACAGGTTTCACGAACTAGTTTTATTTTTCCCAAGAGACAATAAGAACCTAACAATACAAATTAAGATGTATTTGGTTCAGCCCAGTGTGGTGGCTCACACCTGTAATCCAAGTACTCTGGAAGGTTGACGTGGGAAGCTCGCTTGAGGTCAGGGGTTTGAAACCAGCCTGAGCAAGAACGAGACGTTTCTACTAAAAATTAGAAAAAATTAGCCATGTATGGTGGTGCGTGCGTGCCTGTAGTCCCAGCTACTCTGGAGGCTGAGGCAGGAGGGTCACTTGAGCCTGGGAGTTTGAGGTTGCTGTGAGCTAGGCTAATGCCACAGCACTGTAACCCCAGCAAGAATGAGACACTGTCTCAAAAAAAAAAAAAAAATCATCTCATATAGATGTTTTGGAAAAGATGGCTAAAAGTGAAGGGGAGCCACTGAGAAGGGAAGGAAGGGATGATGCCATCAGATTTGTTCTAGAAAGTAAACCTTGCAAGCAGGCAACACACCTTTGGGGTCCCCCTTACCCAGATGCCAGGCCCTGGATGAGTGAGCTGGATCTCTACTCTTAAGGATCTTCCAGAGCAGAAGTAGACAGACATACAGACAAAAACGGGGGAATATTCAGCACTATGAAAGCACAGTCAAGACAGAGGGAACAGAATAAAAAAGAATAGCAAGGAAGGAAGCAAGTTAAGTGGCCCCTGGAAATGATCCTGGAGAAAGATGGGTAGTTTTATTACGTCGGAAAGGACAAAGGGACATCAGTTTTAAGACTGATGCACAAAAGCCGTGAGGTACTGACTAGAGTGAGGGAAAGGGAGAGTCCTCGGCAAGTCTATAGCAGGGTTCTGTCAGTTCAGGCAATTATGTGTAGGATGAACTATTTCAGTCATTTCCAAATTGTAATTGTATTCCTTACTTTTTTGAATTGGTAATACATTCATATACTTTAATATCAAAAATGTAAAAAACGGGGATAGACTAAAATGTCTTCTTACTTTTTACAGCCATCCAATTCCTTTCCCTGGAAACTTTATCTTAGCAGTTTCTTAGGTCTCCTTTCAGCAACACTTTAACTATAAAGCACATGTATATATACAGTTTCCCCTATATCCTCTTTTTTTGTTTGTTTAACACAGATGGTAACATACACTACATACCTTTGGTTTTTTCACTTTATAGTACACCTAGGAGATCATCCGATACAGGTATACAGTTTTCTTAAGCTGGCTTTTTTCCTTTACTGCATTGTATTGAGTACTTGCATTATAATTGACATAATCAGACCCCTACTAATCAACAATGCTATGAGTAGTAACCTTGTATAATTATTAATCTGTTGTTTGGCACTTATATGAGTTTATCTGTAGGATAAAGTCCTAGAAGTGGAACTGCTGGACCAAAGGGTATGAGACAACACCACACTGGTGAACAGTGCAGACTGTTAAGGCAGACCACCCAGCTTTGTTTATTAGTTTTGCATACCAACTACGCACCAGTAGACAAGTCAATTAAACTCTCTATGCCACACTTCTCTCATCTGAAAACTAGGAATAACTTTGGTACCTACAATACAAAGCTCTACCAAATTACATATATTTTATTGAGGTATAATTAATGTACAATAAAATGCAGTATAGGTTTTCAGTTCAACGAGTTTTGACATCTCATGTTTTCATGTAACTACTGTCCAAAATAAGATGAACAGCATTTTCATAACCCCTACCATAGGCAAATCATTTTTGACTTCTACTTCATAGATTAGTTTTAACTGTTCTTAGATTTCATATAAATGGAATGAAAATATGTACTCAATTGTGTCTAGCTTCTTTCATTTAACAATGTTTTTGAAATTCATCTACATTGCTTGGTAGCTCATTTTTAAAAATTGTTGGATGGTATTACATTGCAGGATTATATCACATTTTGTCCATTCTTACGTTGAGAGGCCTCAGTTGTTTCAAGTTTTTGGCTATTATGAATAAGGCTGCTATAAACATTTTTTGTACAAGTCATTTTGTAAACATGTATTTTCATTTCTCTTGAGTAAATATCTAAGGGTGGAGCTCTGAGTCATTGGGTAGAGGTATGTTTAACTTAATATGAAAGTAGAAAAGAGTTCTCCAAAGTAGTTACACCATTTTATACTACTATCAGAAATTTATAGAGTTCTAGTTGTTCCACATTCTTGCCAGCATTTTGGTTGTTACTAAGAATACGGCATGAACATGTACTTTGACACTTCTACTATTCAACATTGTATTGGAGGGTCTAGCCAACACAATAAGGCCAGAAAAGGAAAAAAGGTACAAAGATGGTAAAAATAAGTAAAACTCTTATAGACATCATAATATTTTTTATATCATGGAGTCTAAAAAATATAACATATTCTTGCATGATACTGTCCAAAATAAGATAAACAACATTTCTAATTATCAGAAAGTTTCCTCATACCCATTTCCAGTTAATTCTTGTCCTTATCCTAGGCGAACCATGAAGTCTAAAAATATAAATGCTAGAAATAAGAAAACTGATGTTCAATGAAATTATTTATATGGCAAGCTTTAATTGTCCCATTTTGGTATTTGTTTCTCTGTTCCCGTTTCTGCCTTCTTTGGATAAATTGCATTTTGGGGGGGGGTATTCTATTTTATTTCTTATATTGGATTTTTAGCTATACCTCTTTGTGTCTATTTTTTCAATGGCTTCTCTAGAGATTACAGTATGCATCTTTAAATTTCAGTCTATTCCCAAATGATAAAATACAATTTCATGAACAACAGAAGACTCTATCAGCCTAATTCTACATATTCTCCTCTCACCTATTGCATTCCTGTAGCCTTTAACTTCTTATGTTATAAACAAAATTGCTTTTGTTTTAAAAGCCAATAGCTTTTTTAGAATTTCTTTTAGTATTTCTTGTCATAGGGACTTGTTGTAGACAAAGTTTTTTAGCTTTCGTCTCTCTGAGAATGTCTTCATTTCACTTTCATTTTTTTTTTTTTTGAGACAGAGTCTCACTTTGTTGTCCAGGCTAGAGTGAGTGCCGTGGCGTCAGCCTAGCTCACAGCAACCTCAAACTCCTGGGCTTGAGTGATCCTTCTGCCTCAGCCTCCCGAGTAGCTGGGACTACAGGCATGTGCCACCATGCCCGGCTAATTTTTTATATATATATATCAGTTGGCCAATTAATTTCTTTCTATTTATAGTAGAGACGGGGTCTCGCTCTTGCTCAGGCTGGTTTTTGAACTCCTGGCCTTGAGCAATCCGCCCGCCTCGGCCTCCCAAGAGCTAGGATTACAGGCGTGAGCCACAGCGCCCGGCCCACTTTCATTTTTAAAGAAAGTTTTTGCCGGATATAGAATTCTTGGTTGGCAGGGTTTGTTTGTTTTCATTTTTAAACTGTGTTAGAGATACCCTATCATTGTCTTCTGGCCTCCACTGTTTCTGATAGGTCAATGACAATTCTTATCATTGTTCTCCTGCATGTAATATGTTTTTTATACCTCTTTGGATTGCTTTTAAGATCTGCTCTGTACATCTGGTTTTTAGCAGTTTGACCATAACATGCCTAGGCTATGATTTGTTTTGTATTAACTTATCCTGCCTGGAGTCTGCAGATATTCTTAGATTTATACACTGATCACTTCTATCAGTTTTAGTGGAAAGTTCTTGCCCTTTATCTCTTGAATTCTTCATTTCTTCCTTTTTCCTCCTTTCTTTCTGGGAAGCCAGATGTGTGTATGAGAGACTGATAGTATCCTACAGATCTTGGATGTTGTTTTTTTTTTTTAATCTTTTTCTTCCTCTTTGTGTTTCAGTTTGGATACTGTCTACCTGACTTTAAATGGACATTTTTATGAGATGAGCTTAATAGCACACTGAGCATAGCAGAGAAGAGGATTAGTAAACTGGATCAGGATTTTGAAGAATTCTCTTTGATTTTTATTTCTACCCATGAATTGCTGTACCTCAGTTGCTATTAAATATCACCCTATGTCCAGTGAAGGCAGGAATTCCCGTGGAGAGGCTGCTCTGAGCTCACCAGCTCCACCTCAAGTCTCTGCAGCTGATTGCCCACATGTTCCCATCTGGGGCAGATTCTCTCTGCCCCTGTTTCAGTAGAGAAGAGCAACCATGGATCTCTTCTAAATGACCTATCACTTTCTGAAGTTTATTTCATTTATGTTTTCTTGTGTGTTCAGCTGTCTAATGGGCTTTTAAACACTTACCTTACTTGTTTTGTTTGCATGAGATTGACAATCTCTTGAGACTTTTTATATCTGAATTGGAAGCACAGAGGGTTGTTTCAAGGACTGAGTTATTACATTTAAAGAATATAATAAGTACATCATTATTTCTATTACTTATATTTTGATGGACTTTACCAAGTTGGTCATCATAGTGGTTGTGCCAATTTACAGTTGATCATGGACTTGTTCACTGCTTCTTATTGACAAGGCAGGACAAGGTCTTTGGGGATGAGAGGGTGGAAAGGAGCTCAGTGAGTCCTAGGTGTCTCTGTGTTGAAAGCAGTCATTTGGAGTCCCTGGAGAAAGATGGCCCTCAAAGCTGTGACAGTGAATGAAATCACCTAGGAAGACACAGAAATCCTCACTGTCAGCATTTTAGGGGTAGAGACTGAAGCCGAGGAATAAGAGGAGGAGGACTGCTCCAAGGGGAAGAAAGGAGAATCAGAACTGGATCCCAGGGAACAAGAGGATTAAAAATGA